GAAAAGGTCGGAGATGCTCGTCGTCTTGCTCAGCGGTATAAATCAAGGATTCTGCTCTCTCTCAGGGTGTTGAGGATAAAACCCCACATTTTTTAGCTGTCAAAGTATCTTTTAGGGTACACTCGAAAAGATTGCAATAAAAAACCAATATCATTTCTGTCTTCAGGCTCGATTTTCGCCAATCTCTCGAGTCCGGTCTACTAGCGCGGGCTGCTCTCCTGAACATTGCTGAACAGCAGCTGTTACACTGCTCTGCCACGTTGGAGGGGCGGGGGGTGGAACTCGCATATCAGAATGTCGGGGATGCTCCTGGGAAAATTTGAATCAAAAGCTGCGCGCGTTCGCTCTTCGCGAAACCAATGATGTTACTTCTAGTTTGTTTGTTGGTGTCTACTCGAATCATACGAAAGTCACTCACCGTAATGCACACAAATATAATCATGTTGAACTGGGCTAATATATAAATATCCAGACCGTGTAAATCACCATCATAGGACCCAACTACGCACACAAAAAAAGATACTGCACATGAAAGAACTGTAGTTTTAGATCTGAGATATTTATTTATCAACTAACACTTTGCCTTGTCTCTCTCTAGGGACCAGATTATATATCTGAAACCGAAAGTTGACATGAGACTACACGAATTTTAAGAAACGTTTAGACAAAGACGTAGACAACAACTGTAGATCTTTACAGTTTAAAGCAGTGGCCAGAAGTGATGAATTCTACATGGCCACATTGTGTAGCGTAATGGACAACGTCCGGCAGCCTCGTGCTTCGGATGCAATGTCAAATAATGGGCGTCAAAACAAAACCTAGATCAGCTCTTGACGTGGTCTCAGATCATGGCAACAGGCTGTATGCCAAGCTCTGTATGTCATCTGTTATATCTTGTCAAGTCATTGAAGAACGGGATCTGATTTTAAGTTAGTTGTTGGGAAGCCAAACACAGAGTCGTCTCGATTTCCGTTGATAGGAAATGGTAACAGTCTAAATTGAGAAATGGTCCTCTCTCTTTCGGCTTGAAGAAGAAAGATTCTTCGAGCAAAAAGTAGCAGTAGACTATTAACAACTTGTTAATAATTGAAATTGAGTTGAATTACGCAAAACTTGTTGAACATTCATGGGGCTGTCTTTTGTAGGCTTGGAGGTCTCCTCCACACATGCCTTTGAGATCGTTTCAAACGTCTACGCTTGCTCTTAAAATGGTGAGCTTTGCCCAGAAGCATCACCGCTTTCCCCTTTTGTGGTCGCTGTATTCTAAGGCAGCTCCTAGGAATACTTCTAAAGAAAATTCCTTAGCTTATTATTTTATTATTGCGCTTTTACTGTGTAATATCATTCCTCATCTTGAAAACTGAAACGACCATGCAATGAATATACGTTGTACTCTGGCAGTGGGTATTTTATTTATGATATTTATGTTTCGCTTTTACACGGTGTCACATGGATCACATGGGTCACATAAGTGGTGCGTAATCAGCACTTTCTCGTCAAACTATGATCATGTTACGCAAGAATAGAGGCCTTACGAGTTGCTGGCCTTAAATTGCAATTAATATATGATGTTTTATACTCAAATATCAATTGAGTCGTCATAGTTGCCCGGTACAAAAGGATATTTAGTGTTATGAATTTATCGACTTGTATGAACATGTAGTATGGAAGGCTTTAAAAAGCCCAATTGAAGAAAATGCTAGACCAAACCGACCGTCTTACAGAACATGTACAATAAACATTATAATTTGGGGTACTAGCATTCGTCAACTAGTTGCTTCAAGTTTTAAACTGTCCATGTAGTAGCTAAATAAGACAAATATCGATAGCAGGTACGAGGTACTGTCACTCGAAAGCTAATCGCATTAACGCCCTCCTGAATGTCAAGCAAGAATAGGAAGAGGTCATTCAGCCGTTCGTTAATATTTATGACAATAAATCGAGCCTAATATCCTAGCCCAGAGGTTGGGGTGGGAAAACATGGAAGTTTTGATAAAGAACCTTTTAACGGCGTTACAAAATGTCCTTGGTGGTTTTGTTACGAGATCACAAATTGTACAATGTACAGAATGTTCCCTCAAATATGCAGTGCTTTGCCACGTGACGCTTATTTTACCTGTAGATGTTGTAAATAGTAATAGCATTATACATATAATCTAAATATCAACAGAAGACGTATTACATTGTATGTAGCAATTTACGTGTATAAAGCCTAGTCACAGAGAAACGACGAAAACAAGTCTTGACGATCAGTTTTATATGATTTTGATCTACTGTTATTAAATTACATACAAAATAATAAATGCTAGTTTACGTACTGTTGTGACGTTTCATCGATATCCTAACTAACCCTGACCGTAGACCCTGTATCGGACACTGACCGATGCTGTACACTAGTGATTGATTTATGACGAGACAACCTAACTCTGGTAAATGAAGGTTTCATTTCCAGTTTCTCTTCAGTTTCAAAAATTGGTTAACTAGCATAAATACTTATTTATTTTTCCACTAATTATGTATTTGTGCGTCTAAGTATTTATTTATTTATTTCCTTATCTGTCTTGAATCTGCATATTGAGGAGTATCGCATTCAATTAATAACTTAAGCCACGGAGAGAACACGATGTAAATTATTCGCCATCTTCACCTTACTCTTACTACCACCACTCGTTTGGTGAATTCTTAAAAGCATCTAAAATCAATATTAATGCTTTCAATCAGGGCTTGGTCACTGAATACAATAGAATGGTCGTTCTAAACACCATGTTTATTAGAACATCGTCATCAACATCATCTTAATCGCCAGAGAAGAAAGAAGGATAGGCAAAGGTTTCCTATCGGCTTGTCTCAGTGCTTTTACGGCGCGGAGTAATTGTGGGTCTTAGCTAGCTCCAACAGGGGTCCGGGGTGTGGGGAAGCCTAGGGATCGAGTGTTCATCCTTTGGATCTTTCATTTTTGACCATACAGCGAGCGGAGGGCTGCCAGTCCGAGTACACTTTCATGACTCACTTTAATGTTGAACAAAGATGAGCAGTATCATGTTTGGAAGAAATCCCATTGTACCGTCAATATGGGACGGGTAAAAAGCTTGAACGAATGTATGAAACATACTCTCTATCAACTCAACTACTTTGTTATTTGTAAAGAAGAGAAACTATGATGACTGAATTACTTAAGACGCGGGTTAACATGAAAGCCGTATTTTGGCTGGGTATTATGGGTTTAACGCAAATATCTTGCTCACGTTTCAAGCAGTCAAAAATCTCTCTGCTCATCCCACATATCTACGTTTTGGGCTGTTTTGTAAATTTTTTGGTGATTTTTTGGTATATTTGGGGATAGATAGTTTTTCTCCAGGGATTAGTAAAATTTATGGAAATAGGAAATTTTGAAGATTTGATGTTGTTTTAAAATTAGAATTTGAAGTTAAAAACTGGTAGACGTACGCCAAACAGTTGTCCACCAACCTAGAGTGCCCTTTCAGGGGAGGCGCGTGCGGGGGGCGTTCAACTGTCTGGTGATGTTCCAAAACTTTTTTTCCTTTTAATCCGTCTTTAAAAACTTCCTAAAACTTCACTTAAATTCAGGTAGACCCCCGCCTAAACTTTGGTACATCCAGCTCGTATTTCGAACCGGGAAGAGTTATGGCAGTTTTAGAGCTGAAACAGCGATACTTTCGGGAAGGAAACCAGTTTTAACTTAGTGCATTCTTATTCTTAGTCTGACGGTATCGGGCCGATCGTGTATCACCATATAGCCACCTTAACCTTCAACCTCGCACTCAGGGTCCTCTCTCTACCTCAAGAGAGAGGACCCTGAGAACGAGTTTGCTTTTCTGACAAGGACACCAGACACCAGACGAGGGACAAGCCCGGGAAGACCTGGGGAGACCTGGGATTGGTTCCATCGAGATCACTGCATTAGGGAGTTCAATCCTTCCCTGTTTTAATTCAAACATCACCAGTCCTCCTGTTAGTCTCAATAAAATTCACACGTGCCAAATTACACGAGAATCAACCTAGTAGAATTTTAATTAACTTCAAACATCTGTTACAATCAGGTTATATTAACGATCTTTCACTCTGAATTCTTACTCTGTAACACTGATCATTTGATAACGTAACACCTTTGTCCTGGTCTCTTTAAATAAATATTCTCATTTAAATCTATTCAATAAGTTCATTTTCTACTATCTATTCTGATTTGGATAAAAGGTAAAAAATAAATTATGGCATTTAAAATTTGCTCGAGATCAAAACGTTTTGAGCCGGTTTAGATTCACCGATCGTACCAAGTTGCGTAATAGACCGTCAAGTCTGCGCCGCTGAACGTCCTTGATTAGCAACCCAGAATAAATTAATAACAAAAATGTTGGAAATTGTCTCTTGGGTATTAATTATTACACATCACCAGATTGAGAACTTATCTGAAAAGTCGCAAAAAACGAACCACGATCTGATGTATTTTTAGAGATTATTGCATGCAACACAATGCGCGCTTTTTCAACCTCAAAACTTCATTGTTTGCAGTAAAATAAAAAATAAAAAAGCACCTCTATTAAGTAACATATTGCTACAAGTCTCTAAACTTAAGGTAGTTTTCATGCCTCATGCTATGCCATATGTGGGTTCTAATGAGTACATACGCTGCCTTCTCGAAGACACCACTCTCCCGTAAGGCTCAGAATAGGAACGATCATGACATACAGGCGTCCAATCAAATTTCTCCAAGTCATTCCAAACATTCATTTGCTCTGGCGACACAACAGCCAGAGGCGGGAGTTTAGCTGGCGCATGCGTTACCGTCGGCGAGTAAAACTCCTGGGTTTCCTGATTTCGCGCCTTTATCTGTGCCACGCGCTCTTTCGCCGCCGCCTTGCGCTGATTGGCTTCCCGCGTCAAATGCGTGTTGAGCTCAGCACGCGCCATGGCAGTCTCCGCTTGACGTAACAGTTGCCTGTGCTCCATGTAGCGACGCACCAAAGCTTGTTGGTCTTGGGAAACTTCTTTTTCCTTTCGCACGGTCTCTTCGATTTCTTGCACTCGCTCGTCTCTCTGTGAGACTCGATCATGACGTTGTAGCGCGTTCGAGATGGACGTATGCTGACAGTGGAAGTCCGTTAAGAACGCCAAATCCGCTCGCCTGGACTTGACCTGTTCCGCCGTAACAGCTCGTGCTGTGGACAGCCGTTCATGTTCAGTCACCTCCTTGGCTTGTCGTTCTTTCAGTGCTTCAGCGGTCCTTACACCATCTCGCACTCTTCTCCTTAACGAGGCTTCCTTGTACTTCTGTTTGAATATCTTCATGCGTTCTTTAGCTTGTTCTCGATCTTCTCTTAACTGCGCTACAGTGAAAGCTTTTGAAGACACAGCATCAGCACGTTCTCTTTCCCTGTAGGCATGCTGAACAGCTCGCAAGCACGCCAAGCCCATTGTGCCGTGGGTGCGAATGAAAAGCCTTTGATCGGTGGTAACCGTCTGTCGTTTTATGGCAATCTTTCTTGGCTCCTCTGCTGCTTTCCTCTCTATCTCCCTTGCCGCTTCTCTGACGTCCTTTCCAGCCTCTTGCTTGGAAATCAGCATTTCTCGCAAAGGGTCGACTATTTGAATCGGAGCGCGAAGTCCTGACAATCGAAATCGCAGCTTCTTCGGTTCACCCTCGGTCTCACTCGGTTCACACTCGGTACGCGGGTGCGTGTCAACAACTGGCCCAAGAAGTACTTGCACGGTCGTGTACTTTCCAACGCGGTCTCGTTTTTTTCTTTTTTTCTCCTTCTCTTCCATTCTCTGTTCCTCCTTTTGAAGTTCCCGGCTTTTCACCCTGATACTATTTTGCGTCGCCAACTTAATACGCATCGATTCGCGACTTTCAATCATACTTTTCCTGGACTTGAGACTGACAAGACCCAGGCTCTTCCGAATAGTCACGGCCTCCTCTTTAGCTCTGATGACGTCAGAAGTACTGGTTTCGAGCTTCTTAAGGTTCAAGCTAATTCTCGTAGTGATTCTGACTGGGAAATTTTCATTTCTTGTCAACTCAAGATCTTCTACTGGGGAAGTGGTGACCCTTCCCTCTGTCCTCCTATCGCCTTCCTCCGTGATGCTACCAATGGGCTCCACAGTAATAGACACATTGCGACTTCGTGGTCTTCTTGTAATCTTTCCCGCGGAAGCCCTAGGGCTGGGTGGATAGGCAGGTTTCACCCCATGCAAATAGGCCTCGTAATCAAATCGAGTCAGGGCCGAGTTGGATCGGCTAGGGACTGGAGACGTGGGCGGTGGTAGGGTACCTCCTTCTGTGTACCCTTTGTAGTGACGGTAATAGCGCTGAATTGAGACTGCAGCCCTGTTAACCAATGAAAAAAAAACTGATTAAAACAACTGATAAATACCATTTGCAATGAATGTGTATACAATTGTCAGAAAAGCGTGTAGAAAGCGGGTAAAAACCACGAACAACAAAAAGCTCGAATCAGTCTTAAAGATCTTGTCTTAACCACGCGCATCCCTGTTGACCAAGAGCTCAGGGCTTGGGACTAATTAATTAACACACTGTCTGACTGGTTAGTGATATAACAGATTTTACAAGGTGAACCATCTAGCAAGAGTCTTTACTGGTCAGGTTTTACTGCAGTTGTTTTTTCATGCCTCACAAGCAGGAAAAGTGAAATATCATGTTCTATTATTCAAACCACAAAAGTTGGAACTCGTTATTTATATATTTCATCAATCAGTATCTGTTTGGTATAAGTTGTCCAAGTGATCTCTATTTACCTAGTATACCAATAACAAATTACCACAATGCTGAGTATCATTGCACTCACCATATTCTCATGTCTTGAATGAACTTAAACCTCATCCTGGTCAAATGTCCTCTGATATAACGCTGGATTATCAAAACAGGGCAGTGTTTTGCCTGAATTCTGTTTACTTCAGCAAGGAGCCCATTAACTTCCTTCATGGCTTCTTCATATGTGCTCTCCTACAACAACAACAACAACAACAACCAAATATCTGTTTGTCAATGTTTGCTAAAATAAACAGCGCTTCTCTTATCACTTCTAGGCTGCAAGCAGACTCTTCAACCATAATCTAATCCAGAGCAACCTCATACTCAGTTTATATATGAATACTTAGAATTCTGTAATGCATTTTTCTGAATACAGTGCTGAGAATTTGTCTGTATATCAAGACAGCATTCCCTCAGTTTTTATTTCTTTTATCTTTCACCTGTCTTTACCAAAGGTTATAATACCATAAATCCTCGAATTAGTGCCTGGGGCACTTATTTCAAATTTAGGAGAAAATGGGGGCGCTTATTCGAGGNGGGGGGGGGGGGGGCCGCATTTATTTCATTTTTTCCAAAATGACCTGACATGATCATCTTCTTTAACACATCATCTACACGTAAACAACAACATAAGTTGTTCATCAACATAAAAAGCTGATCCTAGAGTTTAAATTGCGGCACTGTAAGTACTTAACATGTTCACAAACTGAAACAATGTACAAATCTAATACTATATGACGAAAACTATACATCCTTTGTTGTCTCAGTACCCGTCCACAAAATGAGGGGGAGGGGAGGAGAGAGGGGCGCTTATTTGAGGAGGGGCGCTTATTTTAAATTTTGGCCAATAGGAGGGGTGCTTATTCGAAGGGGGTGTTTATTCAAGGGGGGGCACTAATTCAAGGATTTACGGTATCTCAGATTGTGTTGTTCCAGAAAATATCCATACCCCTCCTGCGGAAAGTTTTTTAGTCTGAACCCCTCATTGCCCAGAAAATTCTGGTTTATCTTCATAAAGGTAAAGTCTGCATAGGAGCCAAGTGGCCTATCAGGCCAGTGCTTGGCTGTTTCAGTGGCATGAAGCGATTAGGAGTATCTCTACTCCCCCCTGGATGGGATGCTTGTCTATCGCACAGAACCCACAGCGTTAAGTTTGCCGGTTCCCATTTATACACCTGGGTGGAGAGAGGCACTGTGAGAGTAAAGTGTCTTGCCCAAGAACACAATGCAGTGTCACCGACCAGGGCTCGAACCCGAGCCACTCAATCCCTCGGGGTGGGTATGGATATTTTCTGGAACTGCACATTTACAATTTTCTGTAAAGTAAAATGTGTGGTGACTTAATCAAAACTTTTAAAATCAATAACGGCTTTGTGAGCTTATAATGATCACAAATATGGTCAAGAATTAAGAATACAAGTTATTAAACTAGATGTCCTTTAAGATCAGCACATGATTCTTTAATGATAGAGTTATCAAAGTCTGTAATCTGAAAGACAAGAGAAAACCTCTGGACCACTCCAAGCTGATAGTCTGCTCTACTTAAAGAGTGATGGGGTTCTGATTTCAAGTTACAACTAAAACAGCATGAAAATTCACTGTGTATATACTTGCCTTTGCAAGAGAACAAGAAACATTGATATAAAAAGTTGGCTGTAGAGGTGCAAAGCAACCACCAAAAGACGAATCCTCTATTATCTCTTCATCAGAAATGACGTAATAGTCCAGAGATTTCAGAGACCACAAACTGTTCACCAAGTGATGTCTGTAGTTTGGTTTCAGACTCAGTGGGGTGTCATACAGAGTCAGTACAGAAATGCTTGGAGAAGCAGCCATATAGTTCACGTTAGCAAGTTTAGAAATACTGTTGTTGTGAAGAAAAACAACCTTGAGTTCAGTGAGCGATGCCCAAAACTTGTGGCCAGGCAGTTTTGCAATCTGTTGACAAAAGGTATCAGATTTAGCCTTCTAAAGAAATCTAATGTCAAATATATTGGGGTAGCAAATTTATAGCAATAGACTGCATTTAAATCTGCTGTAGGTAGACACTCAGGATCTTTGTTACTAATTTTAGTGGTTGAGGCTGGGTGGCACAAACAGAAATATAATTTGTCTCCCAGGCGATATCAGTGATTTTTTCTTCATACTTTGTTACCTTTTGAGAGGAAAAAAAATGGGGGGGGGGGGGGGGGTTGCTCCTCTATGAAGAGGNGGGGGGGGGGGGGGGGGGGGGGGGGGGGGGGGACCTGGGGATTCCAAGTTGTTCTCATCTCTGGTTGATGCAAGAGAGGATCTTTGCTCACTTTTCAGATCATGTGTACTAAAGGCATCCACAGTCAAGTGTTGATCAATACCCTCGATCCATACCCTCAATTGACACTTGATCAATACTCCATCGACATGTCAGTTGACAATCAATTGACATCTTGGTTGATCAATACATGTGAGTCAGTGGACACTCAGCGGTACATCAACCGACTCGCGATCAAGATGTTGATTGAGTGTCAACCTAGTGTAGATCAAATGTCAGTCAAGATGTTGATCAAGTGTTGATCGAGATATCGATCAACTGTTGATCAGAGGGCGATCAAGGGTATTGATTGACACTCAACTCCGGATGCCTTTAGTACACATGATCCCACCTTTCTGTCATCGTTGATTTGACTATGAACTATAAATTTTATAGATTTGTAAGCTTAGTCTGTATCTAGTTGTCACAGAGATAACTACAAACTATCAACTGAGAATCTAAACGTTTTTGAGTGAATTTAATGTCTAGTTGTCACAGAATTGATTGTTTGTAGTGGATCTAGTCATGTCATGTCATCATGGACTAGACTAGAAACCATCACACATATGACATGCAAACTGTCACAGATTTCCATAAGTAGTAGATAAGGTTGGTAGTCAACAGTCAGACAGAGAAGATTTTGCTAGGCAGATATGTTACCGAGACTAAACAGGTCTATAACTATTGGATGTCATATGTGCATGTGAAATGGCCATCACAACTGTGACAACATATACATTGCATCACATCATGCACCTGGGTGAAGAGGGGCACTGTACAAAAAAAGTCTCTTGCCCAGAGTACATTGCAATGACCTTAGCCAGGAGGCCCTGTTCGGGGTTTGAGCATGTAGCCCATCTGAATTTCAAACCTTTTCAGACACAATTTTGGAAAGTCTTCACAAAAATACTCTCAGAATTTCAAGACAAATCATGTTGTTTGTCATCATTTTATTAACCTCCCTGTCATTGTCTTATGCTAGAATTTTACCCTACCAGGGCCTCAGCCAGCTGGCTCAAACCTGGACAGCTCGATCTCCAGTGCAGCAAGCAATGGGTCAAATCCCTACCCAGAAGGCCTGTAGAGTCAATTCCCCCTCCCCTCACCCTGGGGCTTAACATTGATAGTTTTATTACTATTCTTTCCAACAGTATGCGTCTGCAGATTGTCTGAAAAAAACAATCTTTTTGGAATTTCTCTTTTTTTAGGTAGTCCATGTGGGTAGTCTATTTAGGTAGTCCATTTAGCAGTCCAATTAGGTAGTCCATTTAGCAGGCCATTTAGGTAGTTCATTTCGGTAGTCCATAATGGTAGTCCATGGACTTGGGGGTCAGCGAAATGTACCGACCCGCAAGCAATTCATTGGGCAATCGTATCTCCCACTGATGCTTTAGAAAATATTTTTAATAAAGTCATAATCTTGAGTATGCTTAAGTTAGCTACGTAGCTAGACTGTATCTCTTCACAAACTGATCAACAGACATCAGTTGACGCAATCTGAAAAATTTGACCCCCGATCAGATGACACTTCAGACTACTGTATATAGTTTCTTAGTTAAGATTACTTGTCGACTAAACGTTGAAAGACAAGTAAACGCCAATCATACAACCTACACGGACCTCAGAGTAGGTCTCTAGATCTCTACAGAGGATCAATTGAACGTGCAAACACAGAAATATTTTCCACTTCCTTAGCTAAGCCTAAGTATTACTGGTTTTCACAGCTAATAGAGCCAGTAATAACCCACAATCAATAGGAAATATGACATAGAGAAGTAAAATAAATCGTATAAATGAGATTAAAAATACCTGATTATTATGTAAATCCAAGTAAACAAGATCTCGGCAGAAAGACAGAGAATCAAACGAAGAAATGTAGTTGGAATGTAATACGCAGATTCTCAATCTCATACACAAGTCAATGGTTTGTACAGTATGAAGGCAAATCCTGCTCATATTCAGGTAGCTGATGTCTTCTAGATCGCATTTTTCACCGATGCTGTCAAAAATATCATTCACGGTGGGAGCTCGTAGATAGCCTCGCTCGTGAGCATTTCGAAGAACCTCCTCTTCCCTTTGCTTTTCAAACTTGGACTTTTGCCACGTTTTCGACGACGTTCCTCTACCTGAAATCCTCGGAAAGTCCTTATTGGAGACGGCAAACACCATTTTACAGGACAAAAATTATCACAATGTTTAGATCATCGCTGAGACGTAACCCAACAAAACACCGGGAAGCCTGAACTGAAATAATACTTGTGTAACCTAGCAACAGCGTGTCCAGCGTGTCCAGCGTGTGGCACAAAACAAAAATGCGCGCGCTGCTAAAAGGATGCCCATCCAATGCGCATAGTGCCCGTTATTTGTGCCCTTAATCGGCGTGAATTTCAACGGATTCCATTGGTTAAAATGAGCTAAATTATATTATTTAAGATAGTTTTAAAAAAGCATTTAAAATAATGTATGGACGTCTCAAGTAAATCACTGTTCAACTTTTTTCAACGAGAGGCAAGTCGCTATATACCGTTACATACCGACTCCAAAAGATAGGGTGCCTCTTCCTGGTTTGTCGCTGTGGTTCTGCCTTTATTGGTTACCGTATACCAAGAATTTTGACATAAAATGAATTGTCGGATTTTTCGCGACCTCTAAATGTGGGCGTCCGAATCATCTTTTGGATCCCTTTTGAAAGCTACAAGTCAAATGGAATTAATTATTTGTTCGTTTGCCCTCCAATGTGGACAGTAGCTAGTTTGATCTGTATTGAACGAAGCCGCAGGCCTCGTCCAATTTTGGCTGTCCTCGGAATTTTTTTCATCCAATTATTTCCAAATTGGACAGCATGTAGTCCTATTACATATACTTATATAGCTCGTGAGGTAATACAGCTTTGCAAGGAAAACTACAGTAACTCTCTCTGAAGAAAAACAGACTGGGCCCTCGATCTTCCGAAACTGGGGAAAGCTTCGAAAATATCCGGTGATCTTCGGAGATCGCCGGAGATTGTCACAAGTCTTCGGATGTCCTGGGAAGCGTTCTGGTGATCTTCGGAAATCTTCAGGTGATCTCCGGAAATCTTCGGAAGTGTTCGGGCGATCTTCGGAAGTACTTAAGTGATTTTTGGAAATCTTCGGAGATGTTCGGTTGATATTCGGAAATGTCCGGGGAATCTTCGGAAATCATCGGAAGGTTTCGTGTGGCCTTCGATAATCTTCGGAAGGTTAATCGCTTAATTTCATTGGCTGAGACAAACTGTCCTATTTTTTCCCAAATTGGACAGTTTCCGCGTTTTTACTCAAAGTCCTTATTGAAAATAGTCTCCTTCGCAGCCGTTTTTTGGGATGTCACGCAACGCTCCCCCCATCCCAAAAAACGGCTGCGAAGGAGACTATATTGAAAACTGTCCAAATTAAATCCCAAATTGCACAGTTTTCAGAAATTAAAGGATAATAGCTGTGCTGACAATACTGGATTAACTGACTGCTATATAATTAAAACAACAAAAACGTATCTGCGAATTTTTTATTTCGAAATATTTTTATAAGTTTTAATTTGATACAAGCTGATATAGGGGTTTAGGTATCTACAGTTTAAACGTATGGACGTGAGACACCCAATCGAGGTATACCATGGGTAACCTTAAAACTTNCTACAGCAATAGTCTTTCTTTGGCCCCGTCCTTAAGGAAATACTTTACATAATTTTGCTTTCCTTCCTCTCGCACGTTTCAGTTGCGACCATCAAGTCTATCCAAGGCGCAGGAGGTTTTGAAATTGGATTTCCAGGTCAAGTTCTGAAAACCGTTCAAAATATCTTCATTTGCACAGTTAAAACTTTACTTTAAGAACATTGTCGAGAACGATGTATGAAGACGATTTCGGTCGTTCAGAGTTATCACTTTCAGAGTGCTTTGGAATTTTTACAGCTTCATTAGTATTTTCATGTAGGCAAAACTATGGTCGGGGATACTTCATAACATATTAGACTCGTTCGCTGATAAGAACGTTGATTGTGTTGTTCCAGAAAATATCAGTACCCTTCCCACGGAAGGATTTTTAGTTTGAAGCCTCACCGAACCCCTCTGGAAATTCCGATTTAGCTTCATACTTCTCAACCTCGTTAATAATTCATCATGTTTAAACAAAAGAAATCGTGATTTTGTTTCTTCGTTTTCTCCTTAGTTTTAGTTTAGATTGAAAATATGTATCAAACACTCAAGACAGTGTTTGACCTCAATTCTAAACACCTCGAAGTTTGTCAAAAATACTTCGCTACGCGTCATATTTTAGACTGTCTTCTCGGTGTTTGGAAATGTGTCAAACACGGTCTTTCATGTTTCACATATTACTTCAAAATTTTGGCTGTGAAACCCCCCCCTTCCTTTGGAACTTCCGTTAACCAGCCTTGGGGTGCGTATGGATTTATTCTGCAACTGTACGTTTCCTTTAACAAAAAAGTATTGATAAACAGTCTTTCCAGTAATCTACTCTTCATCTGAGACCACGACTCTTCATCGTGTATTGCTATAGTGATACATTTTTGTCTTCATTGTTCGAAAATGATCGTGGTTACTGTTCAAAATGTTCTTCATTTCTTTTTGCTTTTC